ATCGATTTTCTGTGATTATCGAGCACACCCAGCCAGCTTTAAAATCTTCAGAACGGGCGTTCTTTGAAATATTCAAATCAACATTTTCTCCTTAACCCTTTAACTCCCAAGATCTGATTGCTAATTTTCCCATCTAGCTGTTACACATTTTCTTGCAATTTAGTGACAAGAATTCGGTGTTATATCCTGATAATAACCTTTAACTGATAAGTTTTAGTAATCTTATTACCTGTTTGTTGATTGGTGTATGGATATTGTAGGGAGAAGTTACATGGAAATCACTTCTGGAAGTTAAAAAGTTAACAGATAGATTCCATGGTTCCGTGGGTCCGTTCAGTCATAGAACACAGATGACTTATTATTATAAATATTATACCTTTATACAAGATGTTACCCATTGAAGTAAACTTAAATGAAATTGTATCATATCTCAGGGAAATTTGGCCTACCTGCCTTTGCCACAGCATAATTCCATTGCTCATAACCGCTGGATTCATAATTCCATTCACCACGGGCTCCTGCAGCGACGACAAGTGTCCCGCCTCATTCTAATTCATTATTGGAAGGAACATGGTGGATGGGCACGCCCTAGTTGGTCACGTGTTTGCAAATGTCTCAGTGACCAAAGTGATGGAATGTTACAGAGCATGCCAACCAAACTGCCGTTGTATCTCCTTCAACTTTTTGAAATATTCCAACCAGGATAACTGTCAACTGAATGAGGAAAACCGGCACCTAAAGCCCGGTGCCTTGATGGCAAAGGAAGACTCTCAGTACTACGATCTGGTTGTTCGCTACAACATAGCGGTGAGAAATGATGATTAGCCGTCGTGAATAACTTCTTTTCAAAATATGAGAGTATTTTCAAAAGTTTCCAGTCAGGATTTTTTCCTTATTAAAATTCTCATTCATACCATAAATCAGGTTCGTATATGACAAGCTTATAATGTATACGAATTATCAGAGAGAGTCTTATTCTGCCAATCCATGCTAAAAAATCAAATCAACTGATTTGTTGTCTCAGAGCAATTCTGCAGTTTCAGCATCGTCTGGATGCACTCAGTGTTCCAACAATTGTTGCAAAGATCAACCGTGTCTCAATGGAGGAACATGTCGAGAAAACTGTCAGGAGACCGGAAAACGATTCATGTGCGACTGTTCGGGATTTATTGGCCAGATCTGTGAGCAGGGTAAAACAGTTTTGATCAATAATGCAACTAAAGTTTCAAATTCTGTGAGCTATCTTTTCCATGCTGCAACTTAATCGAGTCTTAAATCAATCGAAAGGTTCCCTTCCTTTCTGGAATCTCCCTGATAGACGAGCAGAGGACTGATAGTTACGTATAATTAAATAATGACTCTTAACGGTCTATTTAACCTTACTCATTAATATACCAATTTGAAATGCGGTTCACGTTTAGAGTGTCAGGGTGCCCTTGGCATGGAGAGCCGTGCAATAACTGACGGACAAATAAGCGCCTCTACTATATGGAATTCCCGTCATTTTGCTTCTAACGCCAGACTTCACAAACAAGCAAGCGCAAGTAGCGGCGGGGTCTGGGAACCATCAATGAAAAATGCCAATCAGTGGCTTCAGATCGATTTGGTCACGCAACTCAGCGTGACACGCGTGGCAACACAAGGAAGACCAGATGGTCTGCACTGGGTGACTAAATATCATTTACAGTATAGTAACAACGGGTCGACCTTCCAGTTTCACAGAGGGCGAGGAAAACATTTTAGCAAGGTCAGTCATTGAGCAGATATTTGTTAGATATATATCCACCGCCGCCTGGTTAGCTCAGTTGGTAGAGCGCCAGTCTGCTGTGCGGGAGGTCGAGGGTTCGAGCCCCAGTAGTAACACTCAGGGTCTTAAAATAACTGAGGAGAATGTGCTGACAGTATGTGATAAGCGCGGTATATAGATACACATTCATTCATATTAGTTTTTGTTCAGCCAATCATCGCTTCAGTATCTGCAAACCTGTTTGAGATTATAATTGGTAATTTAGTGTTAACAACTGGGTTGAAAACGTAAATTAGCCACCGTAAAGGGTAAAAAAGCTGACGTTTCGAGCGTTAGCCCTTCGTCAGAGCGAAGGGCTAACGCTCGAAACGTCAGCTTTTTTACCCTTTACGGTGGCTAATTTACGTTTTCAACCCAGTTGTTAACACTAAATTACCTGCTATACTCTCCCACCGACGCATCACCACAGTTTCTTTAGAAACTTACCCCTTTATTCATTTGAGATTATAATTAATTTGTGTTAGCTTAAGAGTCTGCTTTGGTCAAAGTATGGTTAAGTAATTGAATTTCCAATACAGACACCAAAACAGTGCGATACATGTTTCATTAAATCAGTTTCGATCAAAAGATGAAACGAAACGAAAGCCTCACACATGTATAAGGTCAACAAGAGCTATTGTTACTATAGTAACAATTTTTTCATGGCATCTCTGTATTCTTTCAGGAATATTCAGGAAATAGCGACAGTACATCTGTGGTGTCACATGACCTGATTCCACCAATCATGGCGCGTTACATTCGTTTCCGACCATTGGCTTGGCACTGGCAGATAGCCATGAGAGTGGAGCTGTATGGTTGTCATGGTAATAGAGACGTTTGTTTTAACAAGCCTTCCAAGTTGAATTAAAAGAACATCATGGTATCTTTTCGAAACTTAAGGTTCTTCAGTAAATGAATGTATCTAAAAAGAATGAATTTTACCCCGCCATTACTTCAGCTAAAGCCTCACATGCAATTACATGGTTACGCCTTGAGTTCCACACACCAACTGTATATTGACAATAACGATTTCGACTCGTTTGACGTTTAGATTGTCACCGCGCCCTCGGCATGAAAAGCCGTGCAATCCTTGACGGTCAAATTAGTGCCTCGTCACAGCATAGTATATACCACGCTGCTGTTTACGCCAGACTCCACAATAAAGCGGTTCAAAATGTACGCGAAGAGGCCTGGGAACCATTAACATCAGATGCAAATCAGTGGCTCCAGATTGATTTGGTCACGCAACACGGCGTGACTCGCGTGGCAACTCAAGGAAGATACAGGATTAATCACTGGGTGACAAAATATAATCTGCTGTACAGTAGCGACGGGTCGACCTTCCAGTACTACAAAGAGCGAGGACAAAGTATAACGGTTAGTCATTGTGCTTAATGGTCTGTACATGAAGTTGATTTTGAAAACATATTTAGACACTTTGAAATGGGTGGTTATTAAACAGCTGGCAGCCGTGGGCAATATGAAAAAAGTGGGCAATAAGAAAAAGAAAATTTGTCTCGGTCCATGGAAATGCCCAAAAAAACAGAAGCTCGGCCAACACCAAGCCATGTTGACCTCAGACCTGGTCAATAACGTATATATGTTGTTTAAAGGAATTATCTGGAAACACAGATGGTACCACTGTGGTGTCCCATGACCTTACTCCACCAATCGCAGCACGTTACATTCGTTTTCGACCAATAGCTTGGCACAAGGTGATAGCCATGAGAGTGGAACTGTATGGTTGCCAAGGTATGTTAGAGTCTTTAAAGGCCGCAATATTCTGTAACTTTTTCCTAAATTTTTTTATGAAAATAGTGATGCTTGTTTATATTATGTGACAGGCTCGTGACAAGCTAACCTAGCAGCCTCGCCTTATGCAAATTAGCTAGCGGATTTTGTTAGTGCACGTACAAGTGAGAACGTTTTGTTATTAAGACCTGATTTTCGGAGACATTTTACAGTGAGTTATTTGGTGTCATAGAAACGTTTTCCATAGTGCTGTGTAGCAAACCTTTAATTATGCTTTTGTTTCGTATTAGGTATCTAAAGCAACAAGAGAGGATTGCCAAACCAGGGACGGAAAATAAAGATCTCTTTATGATCTCTTCTGAGTATGCTGTCAATCTTACATAATGGAACTCAACTGTTAACGAGTGGTTCATGCGTCAGTTTGCGTTAATTGATATATGAAGCACATAGTGAGATTTAAAGAAAGATAAAAGATTGCTTGGTGAATTTGTTACGAAGACGGCTTCAAGAAAAACAAGAGTGAATTTCTAATTTCTAAGTGTTGTCGTTACATTATATCACTTTATTGTTAGGCAGTAAATATCGAATTTACAAATCTTAATTTGTAAAGGAAGATATCCTTAAAAAAAGGATGATTTTACCTATTCATCATTGTTATTAAGAGAGGTTGTCAGTAATTTTCGAGAATCCGGCGACAGAAGCAAAAATTCAACTTTTTTTTATTTGCTCCAAAAGACCCTTTTAGTGAATCGTTTTCAAAAATAATATTCAAAAGTTCCAGCGAGTTTTAATTTTGAAAAAAAATACGAAAGTTTGAAATC